TTAGGTTTTTAATCCAATAAGCAAACATTTTCATATTTTAATATTTCTGGAAGTGACGTCTAGCTGAGATAAATTGACTTAAAGTGAAAAAAACAACAAACAAATTTCATTGGCAAAATATATATTACTCATGTAGGATGGCACACAATAGAGTTGTCAGAACCGCCACTAACTATGCATCTGTCTATAATTTTTTTTTAAAGGAACATTAAGGCATGCTTATGCCCCCTTAGGTGACCCTTTGTTTTTGCCAACTCTGGAATGCATTGCTAGGTAACTAAAATCTCTGTGTTCCAAAACAAAAGTAAAAACCAATCTGATTTATTGTTTATTTTACTACATTGTTCTGCTTTTTGTTACTTTATTTGATTGCTGTTTATAACCAGCTCATCTGGCAAGGAATGTAGATGAAGAAATGAAGTACAAACCTCTTGGAAATTACTGGTAAAGAGCAGTAGGAATCTGAAGTGCTGTACCTCTGCATACATCATAGATGAGGAAATCCTAATAGTTAGTAGGAGAGTAATTTACTGTTTACTATGTATATTATTTTCTTAATTAATTTAATACTTGCAAAAGGGTCTAGACTGAATTTTTTTAATGTTCTATAAAATGTGGTCAATTGGCAGTGCAAGCTTCCCCATGTTGCTCTACCAATGTGCCTCAGGACTGATGTGAAGTCACCATCAAAAAAGGTTAAAAGATAATTCAGCTTCCTGGATCTGTCTTCTGGAGGAAGGTCCATCCAAGCCCAGCATCCTGATAGGCTAGTACAGTTAAGGCACAACAGTTTGTTAGCCAATGGAACACAACAGGGATATGAGCAGCATCACATCAACCACTTTGACTCCCCAGCCTGAATGACCACATACATATTTACAGATGGGCCACCTGGTAGCAACCCCTGACACAAGCCTAGAACACAGCTTGAAATCATGCCTCTAGAGCCACAGTGGAATGCCTTAACTACTCTGCCACCACAACCTTATCTTCTGAATGAGCACCAACAAAGCCAATAAGACTACCAGTGGTGGTACTTTGGGTGATGTGGACACCTGTCAATGGCAAACTCTTCAAATATTCCTGTAAACAACTATCAGTTGGAAATAGCCAAGCATATATTTTAGAGGTCCTAGTACATATATAGAGAGATTTCTGTATAAGTAGCTGACAAATATATAAAATCAAACACTAACCATCATATTAACTGATAATTACACCCATGGCAGGAAAGAATGGTAAAGAACACATTGTGATAAATGTCATTCTTCTGTTTTAAATTTTCTCAGAATCAGAGAGCAAGCCTTGAAGACCATGAATTTATCCAACAATGCATCAAAATCTGAGCAAATAGTAAAGATAGTGAAAACATCCCTTTACATGCTAGATTTCATCTTCATTACCACAGTTACTTTGTTAATATTAAAGACGGTGCGCCACAACTCGCCAATGAAGAAAGAAATTCAGTACTTTTTGCTGTGCCATCATCTCCTATGTTGTTCTGTATTCTGTTGTTTTGGTGTTGTATACAACACAATACGAGCCTTTGATGCGAAAAGTCCCCAACTTATTATGTGGATAATCTATGGAGTACAAATAGCAACTGGGGAAGGAGTACTAATAACTTTGACTTTGATGGCTCTTAACAGATGTCTTGCTGTATGTTGGCCTTTAAGATACTTACAGTTGGTACATTCATGGAAACACAAAGTCATAATTTGTGTTTGGATTACAACAATGCTCAAATCTACATGCTTGTTAATGATAGAAGGCATTGACAAGAATCCAGAAGATATATTCAAAACAGAACCTTCTTCCCTAACTGTTTTGGGTGGTGTTTTTGCAAGATCAACTGGAATTATTTTGATTTTATTTCTCATAATCATCATTATAATAAGCTACTGTCTCTTATGTACTGAAGGAATAAAAGCTGGTCATTTCAATAGCTCAAATAGCAAAGCCAGAAAAACTGTAATTATTCATGGATTGCAAATGAGTTTGCATCTTCTTCCACCTTTAATAGTAATAGCCGTTGAAAGAGGCTCTGACCCTACTATTTTACATTTAACAGCCTTTGTTGTTTTCTCATTTGCACAATGCCTGAGCCCTGTAGTTTACGGTCTACGAAACAAAGATCTGCAAATCAAGCTATTCAACAGACAAAGAAACATAGACGGACCATATACAGACCATACAACAAACAGTAATGCTATATAGAAGCTTCAGACAACAAAGCAGCTGGCTGATTTAGAGAAAAATAATACTAGGTGGCCGCATCAACACGAGATGCTGACTTTGTAGTCATTACTGTACAGTAGCACTGGTGAACGTCTTTTTTGTGGCACTATTGTGCAGTAGCTTACCAGCCAATCAGCAGTGTGTGGAGCTCACAGCAAAAAGACCATGAAAATGGGGCCAGACACTGTAAGCAGCCTGCAATTTTTACTGTGCCTCCATGTGCTTTAATAGATCCCTGACTGTCTCAAAGTAGGCATGGAAAGACACACCCGTCCTGGCTTACAGACAGCCCCTGAATCTCAAATGGCATCTCTCAAACAACTGACTAACAAACTCCCATCCTGAGGCACCAGGCCTTGCAATGGACCCAGTGGCTACTATATCCCTACATCAATACAGACCACATCATCATTAGACCTAATAACGACTGTAACATCCAAGGTTCATTCACCTGCAACTCCACCAATGTCATATATGCTATCACCTACTTAAAATGCCCCTCTGCCATCTACTTTGGACAGACAGAGTAATCTCTATGTATAAGAATGAATGAACATGGATCTGACATCAACTGCAGACAGACACAAAAGCCTATGGCACAACACTTCAGCCCCATGGATACTCCATCACTGACCTCAAGATTGCTGTTCTCAGACAAAAAAAAATTAAAAAATCAGTTTGAACAGGAAATTGCAAAACAAGAATTCATCCACAAACCGGACCATGTTAAATAGGGACTACGGATTCTTATCTCATTACCTGGATTAGCTTTTGTGACTCACTTTGTTCCTATGCATTTCCTTATTTGCCTTTCCCTCCTAGCACTGCTCCCCTCCCCTCTCTCTCTCTCCCACCCTGTCCCCTCTCCCTTGTCTTTTATATTTTAATTTCTCTCTCCTTATACTCTGTTTTTTGTACATCCTTTCACAGCATCTGATGATGTGGACTTAGGTTCACAAAAGCTTGTGCTCTCTACATGTATCTTATTTAGTTATATGTAAAGGTACATATCTACCCTGACTTCAGATGAACATGGCTAACTATCTCTCTTTGCAATGCAAAGAGCCAGAGAACAAGGTAAACTGAAAAACAATATGTGAGACAGAGTGCAGACTTCATCCAATGTTTGATAATGAGAGAGCTAAAACCCTTTCTTCCTGAATAGGAGAGAAGCCACATGTCTGCTGTCCCTGAACTGCAGTAAGAAAGTGAGGTGAAGTCCATCCAGAGATAGCTGCTCATTAGAAGGGAAAATTAAAGCAGTTAAGTGGATAGAAGTTTCTGTCTTTCCAAACACAGAATCAACTTATTTCAGAAACTGGAGAGTGGTTGCGGTGACACCTTAGAGACTAGCTCTCTCATTAACTCTCTAAGGTGCCACCCTGCCTTAACTTATTGCCTGACTTCAAAGTAATGTGGCTAACTACCTTTCCTCAGCAACTGTGTTTGTCCTAAGACCTGGAGAAAGGATCGGGGGTACTCAGGGGGCAGGTGGATGGTGGGGCCAGGCAGGGAAGGGATTGGG